GAGGACAAGTATGAAGTCTTTTGTGGGACTCCTTACTGACTGGGTGGCTGTGGCTCAGGAGGTAGAGCTGGTCGTTTCCTAACCAGAGGATTAGTGGTTTGATTCCTGGGTTGTCCAGTCAACATGTCGAAATGTCCTTGGGCAAGACACTGAACCCCCAGTTGCTCTGGTGTATGAATGTGTGGGTGTTTGTGAGTGCGAATGGGTGAATGGCCAAGTAGTGTGAAAGTGTGCTGTAAAGCGTAGAAAAGCGCTATACAAGCAGTGTAGCCCAGTTAATGAATTTCTCACTAAATCTGGTGACTTTTTTGTGAAATGCGACTAACAACAAATCTAGCGACTTCTTCTGGTGTTATTGGAGGCTTTTCTGGTGTTTTGGAGACTGACGTGACGCCACGTATCACTCTGCAGTTACTGTCCTCAACGAGCAGCGGGTGCTGCCGTGAGCCCCTCCCCTGTCCCAAAGCTCTCACAGTAGCCTCCTGCTGCATTCCCAGCTGCAGTCAGAGCAGAGAGGAGACCCACACCGCTCCGTGTCCAGACTGCAAATGAATTGCGCATGCGCAATGCTGCCGCTGAGCCCAGATAAAGGAGGAGGGATGGACGTATAGCTAGAAATTACACCCCACATTAGTTTTTTGATTAAATTTGATATTCTAACATTTAACAATACAGGACAAAATTGAATTATGTAATATGGGTCTAGACACAGCATTAAAGTCATGAAGCTATTTTGAGAAGTAATGGCCTATTTCATGTCATCCTGTGACAAGTTGAGTCTTTAATGTTGATGTTTAATATTTTTAATATGATACCCTGTGACAGGTCATTGTGTTTATGTATTACCTTTGGATGGGGTGGACATGTGTATGACAGAGTGATATGTGCCTGTTACTTTTTGTTGCCATAATGGAGTTTTGGACATGTTCATGATGGTTGCAGGTGTCTGGAGGTATCATTAATCAGAGACAAGTGTCAGGAAGATATGGTTTGCTCATTATTTTTGTTATATAGCTTCTAAAGGGGTGACTAAGGCAGCTCTCTGTAGCTTCAAAACAATGGTATTAAAGAGAAAGGTAGGGTAGAGTTTATTTAGACAAGGAGGTGCATGTAAAAAATATAAAAGATGCTGTAAACTGTTCTGCTTCATGAACCAGAAATGGAGATATTGCCTTTTGTAACTAATCTTATGCCTTGTTTTAGACTGAAGAGACTTTGAGTGTTGTTCTTAAAACCCTGAGTAAACCACTGTAGTTACCAGCTGTCTGGACACCTGCCTTTGGGGTTCCCCTCGCCTTGTGAGCTGACCTGCTTAACAGTCCCAACATTTTTTCACATACAGTAGGGTTTTATCTGGCAGCCTTTACTTAATAGTTAATTTCAAGATTGTGATTAATAATCGATAATATAATTTTTAAAAAGTTAGGATGAATTATTGGAGGTAGCAGTAAAGAGACATACGCATTAATTCATATAATCCAACTATAAATATATATTATGTTAAAATGATCACACATACAACACTTTTTTGGCTTTTTCCCGTTTAGGGGTCGCCACAGCGAATCGTCACAATGACGACTGGTATGTTGACATTTGGCACGTGTTTTACGCCGGATGCGCTTCCTGACGCAATCCTGATTCGAACCCCAGCACTCTCGCCGCTGCGCCTTAACCACTAGCCTACCAGGGACAGCTTATGTTAAAATGATCCATCCTGCATAATCAACTTCTGATAAGTGAAGTTTGTTTTGGTGCTAATACTTTTATGAAAGAGTTTGAATGCTGGATTTTATTTGTAATCATGTATTTATATGGAGGCCGAGTTGTCATTTTATTTTAGTTTTTCTGTCCTGATCCAGCAGATGTCTTATGGAGGGGGCTGTGGCTCAGGGGGTAGAGCTGGTCGTTTCCTAACCAAAATATTAGCGGTTCGATTCCCAGCTTGTCCAGTCAAAGTGTCCTTGAGCAAAACACTGATCTCCCAGTTGTCACGGGTGTGTGAGTGCATGGGAGTGCAAATGGGTGAATGTCTGAATAGGTCACTTTTATTTGTTGCATTTGAAGGATGTTCTTTTTGGTCATGTCTGTGTTTTCTTTTTAGAAAACTCTCTGTGCAAAACAGTGTAGTGAACTATTCCTTCAGGCTGTCTCTCATATATCACAGATAACTCCGATCTGTTACAGTGACGAGGATGGCTGTAGCGTTTTATCTCAGGAACTAACCTCCATGTTAGTAACACGTTCAGGTCAGTGAGCAGCGGCTCCGGCCGTAAGGCCAGTAAGCTGCACACAGCACCGGCTCCAGCCATCAATATTATTTATTTCTGTGCCTCACTGAACCCTGTAAATATTTGCTCTGTCCAGTGTATAATTTGGGATGAACAATTATAAATCCATTTCATATTCTTAAAAGAGTTCTTGGGGAAGGAGGATTACTTAGTCAACATTTCAGATACTTTATAAGGCATGGAAGAAAAACACACAAAATAAAGTTAGATTTCAGCTTTATTTAAGTAATTTCACTTTGAATGGAGAGGTAGACAACATATAAATATTGATTATAAAAAAAAGAGGGACCCCACCCACCTCGAGCATGGACTGTTAACGCCACTACCCTCTGGCCGGAGGCTCAGGAGTGTGAAATGTAGGACCTCTGGAGTGAAAAACTCTTTCTTTCCCTCTGCCATCAGACTCCTGAAAAGCTGACAGGAGTTATTACCAGAAAATACGCCATGTACTGACGACCTGTACTGTTACATTCTCAGTTTGCACATGCATAATTGCACATTGATACTACTGCACATGCAGCATACATGTAGCATACACTGTCTTATTATATTTTTATATATTGTTATTATCTCTGCATTTGCTGTTTAAAGTGCTTTAGATCTTATGTTACTTACTCATCTACTTTATATTTCATTTGTATTGTGTGGCATTCATGTGGATGGCAAAGTAAGATTTTCCTTTTCAGAGGAAAGGAGGTATGGACGCCGGTGGTGGTGGTGGTAGTTCTGATTGATTGCTTTGGTGGATGTTCGAGGATCTAACCAACGAGTTGCATATTTCTACCAACGTCAGGCGATCATAAACTAAGATAGAGAAAATGGAGGCAGTATCAATTATAAGAAAACAGCAAATCCATAATAGGGGTAGACGGCAAGCCAACAACAGCGGCGCCATCTTGAATCCTCCTAAAAGATTTAGCGACTTGTAGGACAGCCAATAGCTACTTTCCTTGTTGCCAACTGAGGAGCTGGCAACAGTGTATACAAGTATAAGACCGTTTACCGTTTGTCTGAGGTTATGTTAGGATTGGATTGCAGGAGTTACAGTTGTTTTATTTACTGTTAGTATTATTTTGCTTTTATAATGATAGAGTTTAGTATGACTGTCTGTGTTTCATTAGCAGGACCATGTATCAGTATTAACCTGGCTCTTATGCATGCATTATAGTTATAATATTCAGCTTTGAGTCAACTTGCAGTATTTTTCATCTTCTTGGAAAATTGTGCAAGAATAGATTGCATAGATAAGTGTCGTTCTGGAAACTATAGATAAGATACTGTTAATTTATGCTACTTAACAGACGTGAAGTCTGACGGGCTTGAACTGGTCACTCATGTCTGAAGCATGAGTAAGGGGTGTTTTACAACAGAATCAGGGAAGTAAGTGACACAGCTAACTGCATGTCCACTTTCAGTTAGAGAGAAACACCTGAAGATAACAACACACACACACATACTGCCTATATGAACATTCTAGAATATTTACGTGTAACGTACCACCCATGTACAGGGCAGTCCTAGCCCGAGAAGATAAATGTGAATGATTTTTGATTATCAAAGCGCTTGGAGACTTATCATCTCATAGAGCCCAGCGCTGTAATAACTCTGCATTTAACCAGAAGAAAATAAATCTACGTAAAGCTGATTCCTGTTTCCTGAGTGTTACTTCTTGGGGCCTTCAGATAAAAGAACCGGTTGCAGTTAAAAGTTAGGAGGAGATCGTTGGTGACTTTCACCAATGCAGTTTCTGTACTATGATGGACTCTAAAACCAGACTGAAAATCCTCAAACAAATCATTCTTGTGCAAGTGGTCACATAATTGTTTTGCAACAGCTTTTTCAAGAACTTTAGAAATAAACGAGAAATTGGATATTGGTTGATTATTAGCTAGAACACCTGGGTTAAGAGTAGGCTTTTTGAGTAGGTTTAATTACTACAACTTTTATAGCCTGTGGAACATAACCTGTTAATAGAGAAAGGTTAATCAGCTCTAATATGGATTTGTTGATTAGGGCTAAGACGTCTTTGAGCAGCCTGGTCAGGATGGGGTCTAAGAGACATGTTGATGAGTTAGATGAAGCAATTGTTGAGGTCAGCTCAGAGAGATCAATGGGAGAGAAGCAGTCTAAGTATAACTGAGGTCTTACAGATGTTTTTTAAAGCAATTGGACGTGATAGACCGTCTGTGAGAGTTGTGGGAATGATTTGATTAATTTTTTTCTCTAATAGTTGTGATTTTAATTGTAAAGAAGCTCATGAAATCAATACTGCTGAGATCTAAGGGAATATTAAGCTCAAAGGCACTGTGGCTCTTTGTCAGCCTGGCTACAGTGCTGAAAAGAAATCTGGGGTTGTTCTTATTTTCCTCTATCAGTGATGAATAATATGCAGTTCTTTCACTACAAAGGGCTTTTTTTAAGACTATGTATGTTACTGAAAGGCTAGTTCATATCTCCTAGCTCTTTGCCATTCCCTCTTTTACCAGACTTGTATTTCTGCTGTTTTGCAGTTGGCTCACATCCAAATAAGTTATTAAACTATCTTTCCAGGCTATGACAGATATTGATCAAAATCGCATAATGTAGAAAAGTATAACAATGCAAAAAATCGATAAAAAAGTTTTATTAATATTTCTGCAGATAAAGCTAATCCCTGAACACACAAAATTAAAAGGTATCAAAAACCATAAGAACAGAGGACAAACATAAAAATGAGAATGATAAAGTGGTTTAAGGGTCAGGTCCTGTCCTGCAGTAAAAACAAATGCACATTGATTCATCTGTAAAGAGGAACAGTGCCTCAGTGGAGGCTGTTTTACACAGTGGTAATTCTCCCCATGTCAGCTACACCTAAAACAACAAGAGCTCTACTCTGTTTTTGTCCATAGTTAAGAGTAGCACAGTGTGATAAAGTTTTCATTGCAACCTACAACGTCTCTTAAATGTGATATTTAAAATTAGCAACAATAATGAAAATGCAAAACCAAACCAAAACAAAAAAAACTATCTATGAACCTGAAAGTTTAGATATTACAATAGCATATCTAAAAATAAAACTCTTGATACAGTTGATATAGAATTTGCTTTTTACAAATGTGTACATGTTAAAGATGCATATACATCAGGGCACATCAAAAATGACAAATACAATATCAAAAACCCCTGCTACTATAAACCTGCAAAAAGGATATATAGAAAAAGTTACTCTGAAATTACATGAAAACTAAAAACATATACACACCCTTGAGTCATGCTGTTGCATAAGTGTAGGGGCTCTGAACTGCTCATAGAAATTAAGTCTCCAAAAAGGAATAGAGGAGATCGGCTATCTGGCAGAGCACACTGAAATCTTGTTGGCATCTGCCACCGCTCTGTGAAGCTTGTAGTGGTTCAGGAGCTTTCTCCAAGCTGTACTGCAGTGGAGCAACTCTCTGTTCCCTTTGAGAGGACAGAAACATTTGAGTTAGGAAGATATGTACATAGAGCAGGAGCTTTAAGTCTCAGGCATAGACTATAAAAAGAGAGAGAGAGGGGAACTGCAGAATCTCACCAATGATGCACAGTCCCTCTTTGGCCCTGGTGATGGCCACATTAATCTGGTTGGGATCACCCACAAAGCCTAGATGTTTGGACAGCCAGGCTCGGTCTGGTTCACTCTCAATCTCGTCACTTGGCAGAGAGCACACAGTAGAAATGATGACGTAACGCCATTCACTTCCTACAAGGCAATGAATGTCACATGATGGCAGTTTTTCATTATTATTTCCTGACATGCACTAAACTACCAAATTGATAAATTGTCTACATCCTGACAAAAATCAAGTGGTCAAGTACATTTGACAGGAACAAGTACTGTATTTCCACTGTGTGAGACTCACTCAGCTACATTTTAAAATTGGAATATTCTTTTTTTCATAACATCAGCATTTACTACTTTACTGATTATGATTTGACATTCAAAACGTGAGAGGTCATAAAATATGGCATACTGATGATGAAACTACCCAGTGGAACAGGAAGTAGCAGCAGCAGCAGCAGCAGACAAAACACAACATTAAAACACAGCTTATATGGCAATGCATATAATTCTTTGAGAGGACCAGTTATTTAGAATGAATAGTTTTACTCTGAAATAATTTTATTGTGATGTTGTCAGTTTAATTTCACTTTATCATTACCTTGGCTTTTAGTGATTGTGGTAACAGTGATTTCATCCATTTTCTTCTTCTTCAGCTCCTCTCTTATTTCTGATACTTGGGCATTATAGGGTGACAAAATCACAATACTTTGCTCTTTGATTTTGGCAGTCTTCACCAGCATTTCAGCAATGTCAACCTGCAGAAGAACCATGCCAAAACCAGTGATTGAAGGCAATAGTGAATATAAAGTCATTACATACTGTCTGATTAATGACTCTATAGTAACCTTTACCCTTATATTTTAATATTACTGTTTAAAATCAACGAGGAAATGCAAGGGTGCCCAATATCCTACCACTTTGTTTCTCTCTTCCTGGTTTGCTTTCGAGTTCTCGTTCCCTTTTGCTGTGCTGACAACCAGACTGATGGTCGTTCCTTTGACGTCCCCAAAAACAACTGGCATTGTCCTTTTATCCACACGTAGAACACTGCTTGGCTGCTCCACCCCAGTTTTCAGCTTTCCCTCATAATATTCATTTGATGGGAACTCGCATATATCCTTATGCTATGAAGGTATATAATTGATAGTTGTTGATTATACTTTAAAATATGAAACATTCATATGGTAATACAATATTGCTACAATAAGTACTGTATGTATATACAAAATATTATAAAACATATGTAATACACACTATTCTATATACTTAGTGAGTATTTCATATTCTCACCATTCTGTACTGCGTGTCCAGCATCACTGCCTTCTTCTCATGCATTGTGTAGTAGCGCTCAAACAGAGACTTGGCCATCCCCATCCTCCTCACATGCACATTCTTCACAATTGGTCTTAATTGTTTATGGTCACCAATCAAAATAATCTAAAAGTGATATTGTAAGACACTGGAGTGAATGACTTCACTAATTAGACCAAATGAGCATAACTAAGCAATTATGTAACCAGTGGCTGTTTAGCCAACAACCAGCACAACAACTGGCCAGGAGTTTCAGAAGTTTGTTGCCATGGAATCGTTGGTCAAGGAAAGATTTCTACCTGACAGTGGAACTAGTGTAGTGGTCAAAAACAAACAAGGTGCCAGTCCAGAGGTGATATGTAATAGAATATAGTGTGTAGTTTACATATAGATATTTGTAGTAGTTATGTAAGGGTGAGCTAAGTGTTTATATAATTTTGGAGAGATCTGTTTCTCTCCTTTGAAATGTTTGAGGATATTTGTGCATGAGGGTCCTTGGGAACTATCTACTGATAGCTTGCTCAAGCAAGAATATCTTGGCTCATGTCCTCTGTTTAATTTATGGGTAAACATCCAGGGAGCAGCCTCCCTTAAATGTTCATGTGCTCACTTTTGAGTTCATATTTAGTTTATAGATTAATGTGCACGGGGTCAGCGTGACCTAGAAGTTCACGTACTAGACATCTCAGACAATTCCCGGAAGAAGGGGTGTAGAGCTGGCATGAAACCGTGACTCTGGCTTAAACAATAGGAGGATGTGTAACTGGGAGAAGATAAAAGTTGGAATAGCTGTGCGTTAGTAGGTAGGATGATGCTGCGGTATAGTGTGTGTGTTCAGGAAGGACAGACGAACAGGCAGAACCCGGCCAGGAGTGGCCGGGAGCACTCTGGACTGACTGACTGTAGGGCCAACCATGACTGACTGACTCTGTGACAATCTCCTTATTTAATACTTTATCTGTTCCATTGCAGGAGGAGTGATTCTGTTCTTTGTTCCCTAACTACCATATTGCTGGAGTGTCTCCTAATTTATTGACCTGTTCAGGATTATTGTAATATTAAATGATTATTTAACCTGGGATGATTTGCCTGAATTAATTTAGTTAATGAGACCCTAACTACTGCACTAAAGAAATGATTGCAGGGGTTATCATATTTATGATAACGAGTAATCATTTAATTTCTTGTCAGAAGAGACATCCTCACTAGTACTTGTCATGATGCCATTGTCAGAATTACCTGCATTAGACAGTGTTACAATACATAATTTGAAATAATATCATACCTATTTGATAAGGATTAGGCTAATAGAAAGGATGACAACCAGTGCCTATAAAAAGTATTCAACCCCTTAAATGTTTTACCTTTTATTGACTTTATAAATCAATCATGGTCAATATAATTTAGCTTTTTAGAAAAAAAACCTCTTTTGTGTCAAAGTGAAAACAGGTTTTTACAAAGTAATGCCAATTTAAAAAAAAATATGTAATGGGAAATAAGTGATTGCATAAATATTCACCCCTTCAATTCAGTATTTAGTAGATGCACCTTTGACCCCTTTAAAATGAATGACCTAATTCAACAGAGGTCCAGCCAATTGGTGCTAGTAGTCTCACAATTAGTGAAGTGTGGATCACCATAGTGCAGTGAATGGGTCTCAAATGATTGTAGTATAAAAACACCTGTGTCTGGAAGGTCCAGTAACTGATTAATCAGTATTCCTGGCTACCATTACACCCTGAAGACAAAAGAACACTCCAAGCAACTCAAGGGGAAGAAAGTTCTTTGGTCTGATGAGACCAAAATGGTGCTTTTTGGCCATCAAACAAGATGCTATGTTTGGTGGACACCAAACACTGCACATCACCACAAACACACCATCCCCACTGTGAAGCACCGGGGTGGCAGCATCATGCTGTGGGGATGTTTCTCGGCAGCTGGCCCTGGAAGGCTTGTAAAGGTAGAGGGTAAAATGAACGCATCAAAGTATAGGCAAATCTCTCTGGAGTCTCTGGAGTGGCATCCAAACCCTCACAGGCTATAAACCCCCACGTCAGAGGTGTGATAGTGACATCTCTCTGCTGAACAGCCTCAGTGACTTCTTAGGTCGCTTTGAAATGCAGAACAACACACCAGCACAGAAGACCACCCCTCCCCTGGGCGAGCAGGTTGTGTGACTGTCCGCAGCCAGCATGAAGAAAACCCTCTCCAGGATCAACCCACACAAGGCAGCTGGACCGGATAACATACCTGCTCATGTTTTAAAGGACTGTGCCGAGAAGCTCAAGGATGTCCTCATGGACATCTTTAACATCTCTCAGAGCCAAGCAGTTGTTCCCACGTGTTTCAAGGCTGCCACAATAATTCCAATTTCAAAGAAGCCCCACCCAACCAGTTACAATGACTATCAGTCTGTAGCACTTCTTCTTCTTCTTCTTCTTCTTTCGGCTGTTCCCACCACAGCGAATCATCTGTTTACTAGATTTGGGTTTTTTTTGTCTTTAATCCATAATCATCAAAATTGAAACAAATAAAGGCTTGAAATATTTCACTTTGTGTGCAGTGAACTAATATAACATACAAGTTTCACTTTTTGAAACAAATTATTGAAATAAATGGACTTTTCCTCGATATTCTAACTTTTTGGCACATACCTGTAGTGAAAACAGCCAGCAAGATCATCGGTGCCCCTCTGACTTCCCTTACGGACATCTTCAACACCCACCTCACCCGCAGAGGCATCAGCATTGCTGATGACACCTCCCACCCCCACCAGACTTGCAAACAGCTTCATCCACCAGTCTGTGAGGATGCTGAACACTGGTCACTACCTCCACCCCTCTGCCCCTGGACCGTAACTCACCACAGAACATAAAAAGATATAAAAAGACTACCCCTGCTGTTGCACAAACTCAATACATTCCCTCCTTTTTGTTTATTAAAGGTAAATCTGCTGCTGATTGTGTTTTTTTGCTGGGATATCTGCTGCTGTTAGTCATTTGCAATACTGTCCATGTATACCTCATATGCTATTTGCACCTCATCACCAACACCCTGGTGATGCTGAACCACCTGACAATCTCATATTATTGTTTGCACAACTGTCACTGACTGTACACGGCTTTGAGTCACAGCTTATGGCTGTACCGTTTAGATTTTATCCTAATTACGTCAATCCAGTTCTTATTCTATTCTATTTTTATTCTACTTTATTCTATTTTAGTTCCTAAATGTTATGGCACATTCTATTTTAGTTCCTAAATATTATGGCACCCAATACTAGGTGAGAGAGAAACGGTATTTTGATTTTCTGTATGTCCTGCACATATGGTGAATTGGCAATAAAATCCTGAACCTTGAAACTCCTGGAGGACAATCTTATTCAGTCTGAAAGAGAACTATAGCTTGGGAAAAGATTTATTTTCCAGTAAGACAATGACCCGAAGCATACAGCAAAAGCTACACAGAAATGGTTTAAAGACAACAAGGTGAGTGTTCTGGAGTGGCCGAGTCAAAGCCCTGACCTCAATCCAATAGAGAATTTGTGGCTGGACTTGAAAAGGGCTGTTCACGCCTGATTCCTGCACAATCTTGTAGAGCCTGAGCAGTTTTACAAAGAAGAATGGAGTAAAATTGCAGAGAGATGTGCATGCCCAAATTGAGACCTATTCATGCAGACTCAGGGCTGTGATTGCAGCCAAAGGTGAATCTACTAAATAATGAATTGAAGGGGGTGCATATTTATGCAATCACTTATTTCCCATTACATGTTTTTATTTAATTGACATTTCTTTGTAGAAACTTGTTTTCACTTTGACAGAGGTTTTTTTGTATTTTTTTCTGTCAAAAAAGCCAAATTATATTGACCATGATTGATTTACAAAAACAATAAAAAGGTAAAACATTTAAGGGTGTGAATACTTTTTTATAGGCACTGTATATTCTGACATTAAAACTCATTGTGCTTAGGAAATGTAATTTTAGAGTCAGGGCAGTATTTTCATGAATCAATGCACAAAGAAGAGACACAATAAGGACAATGTTAATGGAAAAAACAAGCAGTGTACTGGTCAGTAAATGAAAAGCACACCTTTTCTGGTTTGTTGCAGGCCAGTGGAATCAGGGCCTGAGGTTCAGTGGCCATTGCACATTCATCAATGAGGATCTGACGTGCGCTGACTGTCTTTCTCAAGCTCGGGGTAGAAGACTGTGTACATGTGCACAGTATAATGTCATGCCGTTCAAGCTCATACACCCGTGCTTTTATGAGGAGTTTCTTGTTTCTAGGAGGGGGGAAAACAATACAGTTAGGCTGCAACAAAGTTATTCAAATTCAAACTGATGTCATAAAACTGTGTATGTTACACCAGTTGAACAGCGACAGCATTAGTGGTATAGAACAGTTCACTTTATTGTTTCGCCAGCAAGGCTTTCCCACAGCTACCAGCACCACAGTACACAGGCACACATGAACTGTGGTGCCACAGGTTCCAGCTAAAGACTGAGTACTACAGGTCTTCTATGTGGCAGGAGTACTAATCACAGACAGCTTATTCTGCCACTTGCTGGCAGGTACAATAAATGTTTAACTCTGCATAAAAGAACTAAATGTCAAGATATAATTAATACTGAAAATTACAAATACCACACTTACTTCCCATTTCCTATTCTTACTGTACTTGAGCTTTTTTATGAAACATTCTGGGACTGTATTCATTGTAGACAATCCAGAACAGGGCTTGAACAATTATTGAACATACTGCACTATAACCAGCTCACCCTTGAAGCCCTGTAATAATCTCATCCCTTATTCTATCAAATAATTTTAATCAATAACAATCAAAAGAACATTAGAGGAAAAATCATACAATCAGTTTCCAGTGTTCTGGAAGAGAGGTTCCTGAGATTTTTCTCATTTATAGAATCAAATTTCCATTATATACAATAAGTCTGGGGCTGAATTTATCAATTTGCCAATTAGTGTACCTGAATGAAAAATAAAAATAAAAATTCTTTACTTTTACTCCTATTCACAGCTTCAGAACAAAAAGCATTTAGCAAACATCTTAAAACTTAAAAACTCTTAAATGTCAAAGAGCCACACAGAGCCAAATAGGACTGTTTTTGTCTAATGTAGTAATAATAATAATAATACATTAGCCAAAACAATAGGACTACAATGGTTTTATTCTATTATTTGCATTTGATCATTTGTCAGGACATTACACCATTTTTTTCTTCTTTTTTTGTGTTATCAAGGGTGCAAAGAAACAAGAATAAATCTCACACTGATTTGATTTTCAATCACTGTTTCAGCCTCTCCTGAACTTGGCAGTGTAATGGTAAATGGTCATATACTTGTGTAGCACTTTTCTATGCATTGCAGCACACTCAAAGCGCTTTCATACTATTTGGCCATTCACCCAATCAAACTCCCAAGCACTCACACACCGGTGACATCACCAGGAACAACTGGGGATTTGGTGTCTTGCTCAAGGACACTTTGACATGTGGACTGGACAAGCTGGGAATCAAACCGCTAATCTTCCGGTCAGGAGACGACCCGCTCTACTTCCTCAGCCACAGGTTTTCCTTATTATATGATTTATATGATATACTTTCTCTACCAACTACAGCAGAAAGTCTTCTGACAGAATTTTGTTTCTATCCATCCATCCCTGTTTGTATTTTATACATATTGTTTGTTGATTGTTGTTTATTTTCCATGTTAATTATTCCAGGAGATTTGAAGATTTCATGAAAATAAATGTGAACCTTTTAGAAAAATATGGTTTTATAAGTTCTTGCTGCAAAGCTGGCACTGGGAGATGTCACGATTTGGCGTCTCTCTGTGTAGAATGGGGTTAGCCCGAAGTGATATAATGTATAGGCCTGTTGTGGTTCGGGGTCTTTCATCTTTCAGCTGCCTGCGTGCATGTTGGAGGTGCAAGATACCTGAGCATGTAATGTTAATTTTTTAGCTGTGTTCATTGAATAAATCAGCACTGTTTTGAAGTTACTTGGACTGCTTTGTCTCTCAGAGTTAGCATAGTAAAAAGTACCGGATACAACAGTTTGGATTCTTCAAGGAGATCAGAAATGTATTTCGGCCCCATGACACCATTGAGTGATTTATAAACCACCAGAAGCACTTTAAAATCTATTCTGTAGGTGACTGGCAACCAGTGTAAGGATTTAAGAACAGGAGCGATGTGCTCAGTTCTCTTGGTACTGGGTAAAACTCTGGCAGCAGTGTCTGAATGAGCTGAAGTTGCCTAACAGTCTTTTTGGGAAGACCAGACAAAAGACAACAGACAATAGTCCAGCCTGCTAGAGATGAAGGCATGAATTCATTTCTACAAATTTTGTCTGGACATGAGACCTCTGAGTCTTGCAGTTAGTTTGATGATAAAAAGCTGCTATAGTTGATGTGACTGGTGAAGCTCAAGTCTGAGTCAGTTATAGAATTTTTTCACTATTGAAGCATGTAACACTCCCCATTGGTTCTGCATTTGTTTCCACTACACTTGACCCACTTTGGAGGTGTGTTCTGGGAGCACCCCTCAGGATGTAATACTAAAGTCAAGTACCAGGAACACGAGGGGGGTTCATGCGCATAGAGCAGTTGACGGGAATTGATTAAATGTCCTCATCTTTGCACCTCAAGCATGACTGCATGTGTGAGGAGGGAGCAGCACCTCCCTCCACAAAACAGAGATGGACAGAGAGAAAATACAGTGGAAAAACAAAGCAGGATGGTCCACATTAGTAACGGAGGCTATGCTTAATGATGGTTAAGGGAAGTACAGGATATACTGCTGGTTAGGTTCCAAGAATGGACACATGACATTATACTCCAAGATTTCTAATTTGGGTCTCGTCTTTCTAGCTTTAGAATCGAGCTGAGCAATAACGTCCTGTCCTTTCCTTCTTGTTGCCAAAACAGTGACTTCAGTCTTGTCTTTGTTTAACTTAAGGAAATTTGATTACAACCAGGTATTTACTTGCTCTAAGCAATGACAGAATGAGTCTAAGGGGTCATTGTCACTTGGTAACAGAGCTAAATAAATCAGAGTGTTGTCTGCATAACTGTGATAGGCAAGGTTATTGTCATGTATGATTTGACCCATAGGGATCATGTACAGGTTGAATAGCAGTGTTTCAAGAATTGAACCTTGGGGGACACCACATGTAATGGTGATCCGCTCAGATTTATGATCACTGATGAAAACATTTTGAGGTTGCTGGTCTGTCTCTTTTCCCTATCTCCCTCTCTGGGATGGTGGGGTGTGTGACGAGGAGGAGGCTGGTGAGGAGTGGCACAACTGAAGCTAATTAGTCCCATCTGCATGACTGGTATTTAGCCAGAGGTTGGCTGTGTCACCCTTGCCAGTCAGTTGCTCTAGCCATGTTCAGATGGCCAAAAGTAACGTTATCTCGCCTGTGTTCTGTTCCTCATCAAAATGTCTAAAGGCATACCTTTAGATGCCTGCAGTCCCATGTCTGCCACTCCCCTGTGTTCTTTGTTCCTGCCTGGTTTGCTCCAGATAACACCATAACACTGTCCAATCTGGGGCATCTGCCTTGAGCACTATACTTCAGAAATAAAGCTCTTTGCTTAATCATCTTCAGTCTGAATTTGCATTTTGAGTCCTTCTGTCTTGACTTTGGCACACCTGCCATAACAGAACTGACTGGCCAAACATCATGGACTATAAATTCAGAAAAGGGGTTGCCTCCCATGCAGTCCATCCTTTCCCACTAGGATAAGGATAAGGATAATCACCTTTATTGGTCAAGTATGTTACACACAAGGAATTTGTTTCTGGTACAGAACCAAGGCAGCCATCCACGGCGCCAACTCAACCGATGGCTCTAACCATCGGGGGCAACTTGGGGGTTCAGTGTCTTGCCCAAAGGACACTTCGACACATGGACTGTAGGCACCGAGATTCAAACGTCCGACCCTCCAGTTGGGAGATGACTGCTCTACCCACCAAACCACAGGTGGGACAGGTGGACCAATCACAATGGTGGGGCACAGAGGCTATCCAGGCCCTGACCAGCAAGGTCTCTCGACTGTCTACCCAGGTATCTGCCCTGTCGGCACAAGTAACTTCTCCAGTACAAGATCCCCCTTCAACCTCCTTTGATCCTCCAGGCACCACTCACTCCTTTGTCCCAAATGAACCACACATACCAGAGCCTGAGCCCTTCCATGGAGATCTCAATCGATGTAGAGGGTTCGTGCGCCAGTGCTCAATAGTTTTCGAGCAGAGGCCACTATGATAATGATACATAGAGCTTTAGCCTGGGATGAGGCAAGATATCGTCCTCAATCAGTTCGTCACCTTACACAGGCTGAATTTACTTCAGAACTAAAGAAGGTTGTTGACCATCTGGACCACTTGGCTAATGCATGTAAATGACTGCTTAAATTGAGGCAGGGAGGTAGGAGCATGGCTGAGTTTTCAGTGGAGTTTAGAATAGTGGCAGCCAATGCTAACTGGAATATTGAGGCTTTATGTGGGTTTTTTGTGATTGGGCTGTCAGAAAGATGACTTCAATTCATTGGTAGATTTGGCCATCCTTATAGACAATAGGCTTCAGGAACATTGCTGTGAGTGAGGTCCATGGACCCCTACAATTTCCTGAGCTAATTCTCCAAGGGGTGGAGTACCCCGAGGAAACCCGGCCCAACCACCCAGATCATCTCCAACCCCATCTAGTATGGGGGAGGAACCTATGCAACTAGACTGGGCTCCCCTGTTAGCAGAAGGAAAGGGTATGTTGTCTCCATATGAGTGTATGGTCAGGTCGCCTAATCGCAGTCTGCCCAGTTCAGCCAAGAGACCGGTCCCACCACTGAGAGTGGGGGTTGTGGTGGGACACAGTCACAGTAACCCGTGAAAGATCCCTTACTAACATAAAACTTCAAGCTGCACTCTGTGTCAAACACAACTCCTTGCAACTGCTAGCTTTGGTGGACTCTGGGGCTGATGAAAGCTTTATTGACCAGGAGTTAGCTATGCAAGTTAAAATCCCATTGGAACCTTTAGGTAAGCCCCTAATCACAAATAAACTAGATGGGTGACTGCTAGTTAGGGTTACCCACCACATTACACCCATCACACTCATTTTATCAGGTAATCACAGGGAGGAGATCCAGCTCATGGTCTTAAATTCTCCTAACTCACCTCTGGTCCTGGTGCACACCTTATGATTACCAGCCTTACGATTGTGCCATAGACCTCCTTCGAGGAGCACCGTTACCCACCAGCAAATGCTATAGCATGTCCAAACCTGAGAGAGATGCAATCGAATGACACACGGAAGTATTACAAGACAAGCTCATTGGACTGTCCTCATCCCTCTTAGGGGCAGGGGGTTTTATTGTCGGAAAAAAGGATGGCTCCCTTCGGCCTTGTATTGACTACCAGGGTTTGAACACCATCACCATAAAAAACTAGTATTTGCTGCCGCTACTAAACTCTGCTTTTGAGTCATTACAAGGAGCAACCGTGTTTACTAAACTGGACCTGCGCAATGCATACCACTTAGTCCATATACACGCGAAGGGGATGAGTGAAAGACGGCATTCAAAACTCCACTCATACATTTTGAATACCAGGTCATGCCTTTTGGGCTTACAAATGCCTCCGCCATGTTTCAAACACTAGTAAACGATGTCCTCAGAGATTTCATAAACAGGTGTTGTTTATCTAGACGACATCTTAATGTTTTCACACATCCTGTCCAAGCACCACCAACATGTTCACCTAGTCCTCCAGAGCCTTTCAGAAAATCACCTTTTCATCAAGTACAACACAACACTTGTTAGAGAGCACGGAACAACCTTTTGTTGTTTGGACTGACCACAAAAACTTAGCATATCTCCAAACAGCCAAGAGACTTAACTCCAGACAGGCCCGCTGGTCATTATTTTTTGGGTGCTTCCGCTTCACCATAACCTAGCAACCTGGCTCTTGCAACACCAAGCTGGACACCCTTTCCCATCCCAGCCTCCTCTGTTTCCATCACAAGAAAAGGAGATCACTGTACACTCTGTTCTCTCGCACCTCCACCGCTGCCACATGGTGTGGAAGATCACTAGAGCAGCGTTGTCTTGCACCTCTGTCTGGAACAGGCTCATTGCCAACCGCCACCAGCATCCCACTCCTACCTACATCCCTGGGCAGAAGGTTTGGTTATCGGCAGAGCACATTCCATTGAAGGGGGCATTCAGAAAACTGGCCTGGGGCCTTGTGTGATTGACAAGATCATCAACCTTTCTGTGGTTAAGTTGTGCCTGCCTCACTTTCTCAAGGTGCATCCCACGTTCCATGTTTCCCAGGTCAGGCCTTTGTCAACCAGACCTAGCTAAACTTCCTTTCTTCCCTTTTGAGTGGCATTATAAAGCAGAGCTACAATAGGCAAAATACCTGAGCCCTATGTTTTTTGTTATTTCACATGTGATTCCCCACAAATTAGGATATACCCCTAAGTGTACTTTACACAGGTTACATGTGATTAAAAACACAGTGTGTGTGTGCCGCACATGGTGCATGGTGCACTCTAAGCAATGCTGCTTCCAGCAACCATTTGTTTGTTGCAATAATGAGATGAGCAACACCTTGTCAACTATCCAACATGAAATACTGTGGCTGTCACACATACCAAACAAATCAGACATAAGGGCCATACTATAATTTTAATGAATTGAACACATTAAAAAAAGATTTTTGCAAAACCTTCTGAGTAGTAAATATTGTGTTCTGGAATTCTCTCCTATTCTACTAATAGTTGATTTCACAGAGTTTTAAAATTTGATAAATCTGAACTTACTCTATCACCTCACCAGCAGTTAGCTCATCTCCCTCCTCCTCAAGGGCAAGTTGAATACGTCGGTCAAACTCCCTTATTTGACGTGAATAAGGATTTTGGTCCTGTCGCATTCTGTGATGCAAAGTGATGCTCCTAAAGCCATGATAAATATACACTAGATTAATATTAAAAACAGGACAGTTATCAAAACTGATTGTCATCAACTGGTGTGATTACAGTACTTGAGTTCTGGTTTGGAACGATCTTGGCGGAGTGTTCTCCGAGAAAACTGAAGGGTGCAGCCTGGATAAGGGTAATCAAGCATCTCCACTTGTTGGCTGTAGACTCTCAAGGGCTTTAGACTATCCCCAAACCTCAACAGGTACTCTTTGTTACAACAGTAAAGACACAACACAACACGGGTTATACACTGAACAAAATTATAAATGCAGTACTTTTGTGTTTGCCCCCATTTTTCATGAGCTATGAGCTGAACTCAAAGATCTATGTACACAATGGCCTATTTCTCTCAAATATTGTTCACAAATCTGTCTAAATCTGTGTTAGTGAGCACTTCTCCTTTGCCGAGATAATCCATTCACCTCACAGGCGTGGCATATCAAGATGCTGATTAAACAACATGATTATTGCACAGGTGTGCCTTAGGCTGGCCACAATAAAAGGCCACTCTAAAATGTGCATTTTTACTGTATTGGGGGGGTCCGGGGGGTCCGAAAACCAGTCAGTATCTGATGTGACCACCATTTGCATCACGCAGTGCAGCACATTCCTTCACATAGAGTTGATCAGATTGTTGATTGTGGAATGTTGGTCCACTCCTCTTCAATGGCTGTGCGAAATTGCTGGATATTGGCAGGAACTGGAACACGCTGTTGTATACACCGATCCAGAGCATCCCAAACATGTTCAATGGGTGACATGTCCGGTGAATATGCTGGCCATGCAAGAACTGGGATGTTTTCAGCTTCCAGGAATTGTGTACAGATCCTTGCAACATGGGGCCATGTATTATCATGCTTCAACATGAGGTGATGGTCGTGGATGAATGGCACAGCAATGGGCATCAGGATCTCATTATGGTATCTCTGTGCATTCAAAATGCCATCAATAAAATGCACCTGTGTTCGTTGTCCATAACATACGCCTGCCCATACCATAACCCCACCGTCACCATGGGCTACTTGATCCACAACACTGACATCAGCAAACTGCTCATCGACACGACGCCATACACGCTGGCTGCAGTGAAAACCAGATTCATCCATGAAGAGAACACCTCTCCAAAGTGCCAGGCGCTATCGAATGTGAGCATTTGCCCACTCAAGTCGGTTACGATGATGAACTGCAGTTAGGATGAAACCCCAATGAGGACGACGAGCATGCAGATGAGCTTCCCTGAGACAGTTTCTGCAAAAAATCTTTGGTTATGCAAACCAATTGTTGTAGCAGCTCTCCGGGTGGCTGGTCTCAGACGATCTTGGAGGTGAAGATTCTGGATGATCGACACCCGGTCTTTTCTCCACTCTACCATTCTTGTAAATACTGTCGCACTGATTGGCACTGTAAATAAATTCCACTACTTGCACCGAAGCCAGCCGCCTGGGTCTGTTTTCTCCGCTCGCTCATTTGTGTGTCGAGCGTTTCTAACAGTGATAAAACTGCACATTTTAGAGTGGCCTTTTGTGCAATAATCATGCTGTCTAATCAGCATCTTGATATGCCACACCTGTGAGGTCAATGGATTATCTCGGCAAAGGAGAAGTGCTCACTAACAGATTTAGACAGATTTGTGAACAATATTTGAGAGAAATAGGCCTTTTGTGTACATAAAAAAAGTCATAGATCTTTGAGGTCAACTCATGAACAATGGGGGCAAACACAAAAATGTTGTGTTTATAATTTTGTTCAGTGTAGTAACCAAAGAAAATACAGTTCAAATTTCATCACGCAGTACAAAGGCACCGCATAACTTGCCTGCAACAACATCAACAGACTTGTTGGATGGACCACAGTAGAGAATAACTTGTTTCTTGCTCACATCCTCGGGATCGTCAAATTTCCTTGGATTCATAGAGTTGAGATCTAAGAAACAGTACACCAGGTACACACCCACTACTGTCTTTCCAGTTCCTACAAGACAAATGGGGAAAACGACTCAAGTTTTTGCAGAAAATTTGAAACACCAAAGGGAATACAAGTTCTGGCTCTTACCAGGTGGTCCCTGTATGAGTGTGAAGGTATTATTTACAGCTTGAGCCACTGCAAGATGCTGACTCGGATTGAGGTTTGGCAGTCCATTTGGTATCTCTTTTCTTATTGTGTACCACCTTGTTGTTACTACAAAGACAAAATGACAAAGGTTACTTGACATTTTAATTCTTAACATTAATAATTTTCTTTTGCAAGCAAAGGAACACAGGTGAATTAAGACAGTACAGAAATGTACTGTAAAATGTGTTCTGTGTTTTCAGTATGTGTGACTCACATGGATACAATTAGTTAAAATCTATGCAGCTATTCTCTGCTGATTAAACAACCTACCCTCTCTTGGAATACGTTTTCCAAGTGCTATAGTCTTGACAAGGTCACATGCGGTTGTAATTTTAAGCACAGCATTTTCTTTCCGACTGCAAAAAACAAACCAAACAAAGAAACATGCTACCTCAATGTAATTGCAAGAAAAATGTAAGATAAAAGCAGTGTTGTATTAGTAAAATCAAAGGGAGCTACACTTGAACTTACATGTCAGGCAGGAGCTTTGGGATTATTTCAACAGTGAAACCTGTGTTTTTCTGAAAGATGCAATTAGGAATGTTTTCCATTGGCAGATGATTGACATAGAACTCCACTTTACTTCCTTTATTGTCAGAGTTTGTATGTTCTTCTGTTTTGCTTGTCACACCATGGGCAACCCATGTGAACTCTTTTGAGTCCCCTAGAGCAGAATGTTCCAGAGTTGAAGTCAACTTCAGACCTCTTTTCCGTATGCAGAGTAGGCATTTAGAAAGATTACATTCAATGGCCCATTCATTGATCCATTCCTGAGGTAAGAAGAAGCTTCCTGTTAGTGTGTCTTCCCCCTCTTCACTGAAATTTACCGCCAGGTTTTCAATGACTATACTATCACTTTCATCCACTGCAGTGGCAGCAGATTCCATCTCACACAATGGTTTCCAGATCCGTATATACTCCTCGGTGTCACTATAATGTATCCTTGTTGGATCATCTGCAGATCTGGAGAAGCATGTGATAGGATTGTGGACATGGTCCACACAAATCTCAAATTTTGGCTTAATGTGCACCAACTGAACAGCAGGCATGTGATAACCTCGTTTTACCTCTGATGTCATTTGGATCTGAAGGGTGTCACCTGCCTGCAACTGGAGGTTGATGTCAACCTCATGCTCCCTTTGTATCTCAGGTACGTTTTGTCTTTCAGAGGTACATGTGTTCATCTTTAAATGAGGTACCTCAGATGAGAGTGGCACAATATTGTGTTTTTCCAGGTGTTTTGTGTTAGTGCTTAATATGAGACTTTTAGCATGATCCCAATTTTCTTCATCAATCGCTTTAACAGTGGCTTTCCATGTTTCCAATGGAAGCTCAACACAGGGACCACAGTCTGGCTGCATTTTCAACTCTTGGTGAATCTCCATGGTGTCAGCTGCATAGATTCGCTGTTTCCATTGAAGAATGATGCAATGATTTGTTTCATCATAATATGGTTGTTCGTCCAGTTGTAAATCTTTGTACATAATTGGTAAACTCTTTGCAAATATGTTATTGTTAAAAGGAAATGACACTGCAAAGCCCTCTTCTTTGAGATCTACACTCACCACAAAGGCTAGCTTTGAAGCACTTTGTTTTTTCATGCTCACAGCGTAAGAGATTTGTTCAGCCTTTTGTTCATACTCCTTGGCATCCTTGAGGTTCTTGTCAAATTGATTGCACAAATGTGTGATTTCTGTCACAGTGTATTGGACAGGTCGGTTACATATGACAGAGTGCAAAAGTCTCTGTAAGACAATGTCCATGTACCGCCGTATTGGTGAAGATGCTTGTGTGTAGGACTTTACATTCAGGGAATAATGCCCAATATCTGCTTTTGGGGAGGACTTAGAACGGATGACATAAGCTTTACTAGAGCACCTTCTGAACTGATCAACAACTGGCTTGAGCAGAGGGTGGATGTCATCTGCAGCAACCAGATCCACCATTTTGTCATTATTATTTGTTCTGGCAGCTGACTGGATGTCTTTCCAGACTTCTGTGAGTATGCGAAACTTTTCACAGTTAGGGACTTGATTGTCATGGTTGACTTTGTGCCGCACATGAAAAGACAGTGGTATTAATTCTCCACATTTCTCCTTCAGTTCTTCTACCTTTTCCGGATCTGGGTTTGCCTGACAGCGAAGGGGTGTGTAATCCCTTGTGTTTTCTGAACCAGTCAAAGTCTCAGATGCAATTTTGTTGAAGAGCACACCCAGCTCTTCAATCATCAAATGGGCTTTGCGCTTTCCAGGCAATCTCTCAGCATCAGGTTGAGAATAAGCCCAATCCTTCTGAAGTCTAATCTTCCTTTGATTTTTTGCAAAACAATAAGCCACTGTGACACAGTCTTCTATTGTGTCAAATTTAGGCATCTTTCCATATCTTTTGGAGATCATGTCCTCTGCCTCTTCATAAGACAACTGCTCATTAGAATTGATCACTGACAGCTGGAATGTGGGCTCTCCAATGATCTCATTTGTGTGCTTGTTTACTTGGAACATTAATGAAACCACTCTGCGATCTTGACCTGACAGTAAACTGAAGTGTCCAGTGCTCAGGTCTTGGTGGAACATGTAATTGTGTTTTCCCCTACTGCAGTGATATGTAGCCCCTTGCTGTTTTGCATCCTCATCTAATTTACTACATGGACTCACAAAGCTTGCAACATCTGCAACATGGACTCCCAGCTCATATTGCTTTCCAGTTTCCTTGATACTGATGGCATCATCTAGGTCTTTAGCTCCTACTGGATCAACAGTGAAAGTGATTACCTTACGCATGTCCTTTCGGTGTGCCCTATCTTCATCTGCCCATGAAAAACCCTCATCTAATTTACATGTATTGGGTGCAAGTTTAAATTCTTCATTCAGGATCCTTAGCCCATCATCCAAACATCTTCCAACTGGAAGAATTTCTACAACGTACCCCAGTGGAAAAGCACAGTCATCTCTCCATCCAATCACTTGTACCATAAATACATTATTTTGTTTGAGCTTTTCATCAAGACGTTCATATGCTGCAATCATCCATTGTCCATGAATTTTCTCCCATATTGGAAGGAAGTTACGTTTCCTCTTGCTGATCAGTATGCGTACTTTAGGCTCAGATTTTGTAATGGGTATCATCATCCTTTTGATAAATTTGTCTTCAGAAGGTCTTGGTTTGCTGTAATCCTCATCCTCAAGCAGGCACACAAGCAAACGGGCTGATTCAGCTTTCTTAGTGATGCTGACCACCCTTGCAGTTTTTAAGACAACTTCATCTCCAGTGAAAGTGTTACCTAGGTTTGCCCTTCCCTTGATGCTTATACATCTGCTGGGGTCATGAAATGGTAAGACATAACCTCTGCTGTAGGACTCTCTGATCAACTTTCCTTGCTTGTACAGCTCTGGTTGTTTTTTACATAACTCTGAAAGGTCTGTGTCAGTGACTCTGTATAATGATCTAGACTGGTGGTGATCTGAGTCTTCAAATTCCAGGCTGTCTTCCTCAGAAACATATTCTGTTTTCAGCTGTTCATATTCATCTTTCAACTCTTGAAGAATTGTGTCATTGAGAGTGTTGCTCTCCTCCACATGTTCAGCCTTTTGAAATTTTGCAGTTTCCATGAGATCCTTTTCAAAAAAATCTCTGGTGAAATGTTGTGGTACAGTACTGTTGTTGCTGATGCAGTGTTCTATGAAGCTCTTCCAGATTCTCAAGCTCTTCCCAAAGCAACAGAGGGCAGCACCATCTCCAACCACAACCACCTGTGACTGAGCCCTGGTCATTGCAGTGTTTAACACACGGCCATCATTGAACAACTCCAGACCAGCCAGGTGAGAAGTTTTCAGGCTGTCACGTGTTTGTACAGTGGTGATTACCACTGCCCTGAACTGTTTTCCTGTCGACGCAAGAAAACAATATTTATTATGTAAAATGTTTGAACAGTCTGACAAGTGTTCAAGTTTCGCCATCCTTTATGTCTACCATAATTGGATAATCATTGGATAATAATTTTATTGTAAATTAAAATTACCTTGAACATTTGCAAGATTCTCAACATGGACTTTAGCCAGACTTCTTCTTGAAAGTGCTGCCCTAATTTTCCGAAGCTATGAACCATAAGAATTTAAACAATTAAACTATTACATGTCTGACCACATCTTCATTCATGCTGAAATTGTCACTGTATTATTTATGTAAATAAAATTTTATTTACCTGAAATCCCTCTGATAAGACGCAGATTGAGCTTTGGTCCTTGTGACCCCACGTTGATGGCCAGTGTTTGAGAATTTCTTCCACTGCTTCAGTCACTTTGACAACCTCCTCTTTGTTATACCAGGACATAGACATAGTGTCCAAAAGACACTCTCCCCTAACATGGTGAAACGTCAGAGCATGGCCATTTGCAGGAGCTGGAATATTTCCAGTAGCTTTAATAATATCATTCTTACCAACATAGAAATGGGTGGATACAAATTCCACAATTTCTTTTGTTGAGCGGTAGTTTTCACTGAAAATGATCCTACTCTTCTGGGCAGCATCACACATTTCGCCTTGGTAGTAGTGAAACAAGCGATTAAGCAGTGTGTGATTTGAACGGTGATGATCATCCACTGAGAAAAGCTTGGGTCCCATTTGCATGTGATCCCCAGCCAAAACAACTCTGGTGTTTGGTCCAGCAAGACCAAGGGCCATCAAAGCTTCACATTCTAGCATCTGAGAGGCTTCATCAATTAGAATATGGGTGAAGTATCCCTCGGGGAGCTTCAAGTCATGAAAATGTCTTGCCATTGTTGTAGTGGTTATGACTATTCTGTGCTGATCTAGGGCAGATTTTGTAGGTGGCAGAAAATATTTTCTATCTTCTGAAAGAAAACAGTACTTCAAAGTAATCTCATCTGTAGCAGACAAAGCACTCCCTTGTTTGTTTGCTTTTATTCGAATTGGCATAATTTCATAGGTTTTGTTGATGAATGGATGGAAGTGATCTCTGACGTACAAATCTGCAGAACTAAAAGGAAACACATGCAGGTATCATTGCCGTACTTCATAACAGTACAGCTCAGAGCAAAGTGTAGCCTCTATTAACAAAATAACAAGTAAAATTACATGGGGAGTACAGTCTATAGAAATCAATAAATACATCAGTAGTTTACATATTTCACATATTTACATAAAAATTTTAAAGTACAGTATGTACATATGTACATGAAGTACATACTGTATGTATAGTAGGTTAAGGATAAGAGATATATAGAGAATTACCTATTGGTGTAGGTGCAAATAAGCACTTTGTTGTGAGGCTGCTTACAAAGCTCTCTGGCTGCTGTAGCAAGGGTGAATGTTTTCCCAGTTCCAAATGGTCCATAAATGAGGAGTGGTGCAACAGATGTTTGGACACTGGAATTCCCAGTTATAAAGTCGATTGCTGACTGCTGCTTTGCATTCAGGTTCTCATGCTGGACGTTATTCACAGGAACTCCATGGTTTTTAAGGTCTGGTAGCACTCTGTTTGTGTTAGGAAGGACGTCTACAGCCTTATGCATGTTACAGAAGCTGTAGCGGTTTAACTGAAACTGCACCTCCATCTGATATGATTCATTGCTTTTGAGTACAAGATCAGAGCAGCATTGTTTAGACAGCTGCAAATACATTTTCTTCTCACTTGTTTTGTCTTGGAGAATGATGGCTTCATAGACCTTGGAGTTTTGACCACTTGAGGATAAAGGGGCTATCAGTGCAGACTGGATATGTTTTAGTACCAGTCCCTCTGGGGTGTCAGGTGTCAGGTTACAAGGAATTGAGACAGCACAGAAGAGTTCCCCCTGACGTGCTGTCATCGTGTCAAACTGTGTACTGTTCAGCGTGTCCAGTGTTGTAATTTCTCCACAAACATTTAGTCTAATGTAAATAAGAAACAAAACGCTTAAGTATTGTGCTGTAAATATGTGCACATTCAACATTCAAAGATGATACAGTTAAACATATTACCTTGAAACTATCTTGTCCTCTGCCTGTTCCTCGTTGTACAGGAAATGGTGCATTCTCTCTTTGTAGTTATCATGATTCAGAGGTGTTTGGCTGTTGTGGGAGGATTTATATAGAAAACTAATCTGAGGAGGCTTGTACATCTTAAACAGCTCCTCCCGTTCTTCTGTCCTGGATGAACATGGGATGATAACTCTGTTCCCTCGATGCCAGCGCTCAGCATTTTGAAAGGTGGCTCCATGGTTCACAGTCGGTTGTTCGGGGTCATCCAGTGACACCTGGCCTACTCTTACTCTGAGTCTCTTCAAGAGCACTGGTCTCATGTCAAAATCTAGCACTAACCACTGTTCATATTGGCCTGGGTTGATGGATGTGAAATGCACAGTGATGTCATAGGTTAAGTCATCAGTAGCAAAGTGTTCACCTGAGGTGTAGATTGAAGGTGCTGTACTTGTATCATCAAGGGTGAAGGAGGCTCCTGGTTCTTGTTTAAGCAGTGCCACGTGCACAAGCTGTCTCTGTATATACACAAAACAGGGAATTAGGCATTCAAAGTCAAAACTGTAATATTTCTGGGACATGAATGGAAAAAAACAGAAGACGAAGATTGTGTCAATACCACACTGACACCAAGAAAAGTAACAGTACAGAGGAGCAAGGCTCATGGTTAAACACAACATTTTACTTCAGGGCATTCAGTCTTTCAACTATCATAGCTTCCCTTCATCCAGGTCTGATCTAACCTTATGATGCTTCTGATAACTTACAAAATCCTAAAGCCAATCTCAGCCAGTAATCGGGCGAAGGCGGGGTACACCCTGGACAGATCACCCATCCATCACAGGGCTAACATGCAGACGAACAACCACTCATACACACACATTCACTCCTACAAGCAATTCAGAGACACCAATTAACCTAAGCCACATGTCTTTGGGAGAAAGCTGGAGTGCCCGGAGAAAACCCACGCAAGCACAGGAAGAACATGCAAACTCCACACAGAAAGGCTGTGAACCTGCAACCTTCTGGCTGTGAAACAACAGCGCTAACCACCGCGCCGCCGTGCTACCCGCATCAGTATCAATCGGCTGGAAATGTGCAATATGTGCTTCGACACACAGGCAATGAGAGGCATGAATGGATGAAGATGTTTGAAGTTAGATATTAAATAGTTGGGAGTTTTTGTCATTTGAAACAGGAAAAGTAACCAACTTTCATGCCATATTATTAAACTCTAATTTATAAATCTTACCTCTGTTTCAACATGGAAGTTCCATTTGAGTGTTGCATCGCTCTTTTGACACGCCACAGTTAAATCTTGATCACATGAAATGCAGACGTCATCAACCTGTTCAGATATCTGTTCAATGTTTGAAACAGTGTATTAAAATGTTGTGAAAGGTAAAAATTCAACAGTCAGTTAGTAATATTTAAGAATATACTGTATATCTTTAGTGAACTAATGAAATGTCTTTTTTACAGGTTAGTAAAGTTTCACATTTGTATCATTATTATTGTTTGTTAAACTTACTAATAATATCTACCTGTAATTCTGTAAAATTTCCAAATATAATGAAGTTAAAATATACATTTAAATGTTGTGTCTTCAGTAAGTAAAAACCACCCTTGCCACAAATCCACTCAGGCATTGTTTTCTGTTAAAGACTGTGGATCACTTGCTTACTTGTTCACTTGATGGAAACACCTGTTCTTATTATTTTTCAATTTTATTTTTATGTACAAATGTAGTATAAAATGTATATATTATCTTCTTTACAGCTCTAATAGCATAACAGTTGATTCTTTAGAGCAATACTTATACTTGTTGAGGCCTGGAGAAAGACTGAGAGGTTGTGTAACATGTACAGTATGTGATAAACACAGCAATCAGAGAGTCTGTGAGAACATGGTGTGCCTCTCAGTCAGCTGAGACACTGTAACATCCTGACAAAACAATCTTTGACATTAGTAGAAAATAATGACACTAAAGATTAGATTACTCACAGTGTGCACTTCATTACTACTGTTTCTGTATTCCTCCAAGAGCCTTTCATTATAGGACATGAGACCCTGGGCTTCAATGTTATGTCTGATCTTCTTCTCTTCTGCAGCACGCATCATCCACTCCTGCAGTTCTTCCACAGAATGAGCTTTTGGGCACTTGTTGCCATACTCACATGTTTGTGGTCTAGGATGAAATAAAAATTTTAACAGTGTAATATAAAGCATATGTAACTTTGACAGTATAAAACTGTAAATAATTTCTCCAAAGATTCACATTACTAATTTTTTCTTTATTTTTGATGATGTTTCTGGAGTAGGAAGATAGCAGAGAAGATTTAAAATGGCTAAATTAAAAAAAAAAGTGAAATAGATAAGCTCATAAAGATAGTCATGGCATTTCAAAGGGCTCTAGTTTACATCCAATTCTCTTCACTTTATACATGCTCCCTTTAGGCAATATTATCGGGAAGCACAGCATAAATTTCCATTGCTATGCAGATCATACTCAGTTATATTTATCTATAAACCCAGATGAATCAGCTCAGTTGGTCAAACTTCAAGCATGTCTTAAAAAAATAAAGGAATGGATGACTGGTAATTTCTTACTTCTAAATTCTGACAAAACTGAATTTATTGTACTTGGGCCTGAAAACCTTGGAAATCTGCGGTATAACCGTACATTTGGTCTAGATGACATAGCTCTGGCCTCCAGTACTGCTGTGAGGAACCTTGGAGTCATTTTTGACTAGGATATGTCCTTTAAATCACACATAAACCAGGTCTCTAGAACTGCCTTCTTTCACCTGCACAATATCACCAAAATCAGGACCATCCCGTCTCAAGGTGATGCTGAAAAACTGATCCATACATTTTTTACTTCCAGGCTGGACTACTGTAACTCTTTACTATCAGGATGTCCCAATAATTCCTAAAAAGCCTCCAGTTAATCCAAAATGCTGCAGCCAGAGTACTGACAGGAACTAGCAAGAGAGATCATATCTCTCCCATATTAGCTTCTCTCCACTGGCTCCCTGTAAAATCCAGAATAGATTTTAAAATCCTTCTCCTAACCTACAAAGCTATTAATGGCAATGATCCATTTTAGTTTAAAGACCTCATAGAGCCTTATCATCCTAACAGAGCACTTTGCTCTCAGAGTGCAGGTTTACTTGTGGTTCCTAGAGTCCACAGAAGTAGAATGGGAGGCAGCGCCTTTAGCTATCAAGCTCCTCTCCTATGGAACTGACTCCCAGTCTCAGTTCAGGAGCCAGACACCCTCTCTGCCTTTAAGAATAGACTTAAGACTTTACTTTTTTATAAAGCTTATAGTTAGGGCTGGATAAGGTGACCCTAAGCCTTCCCTTAGTTATGCTGCTATAGGCCTAGGCTGCTGGGGGGCCCCATGATGCTCTGAGTTTCTTTCCCCTCCCCTCCCCTCTCCTTCCCCTCTCTCTATGCTTCTATATGCCACCATTACACATAACTAACTTTGTGTCTCCTCTCTCCCGTAGTATGTCCTCTCTCTCTCTCTCTCTCTCTCTCTCTCTCTCTCTCTCTCTCTCTCTCTCTCTCTCTCTCTCTCTCTCTCTCTCTCTCTCTCTCTCTCTCTCTCTCTCTCTCTCCCTGTACCTTTCTGCAGGTTGCCCTGGCTCTGGAGCTCTACGTTTCTGATGAGCTGTCAGGTCCGCTTGGCGCGACCTGCCTCTCTTCCTCCTTTCTTTCTCCCGCTCTCTCGTCCTGCGGGATCGGTGCCTCAGCTGTGGCACATTCGGTAATCAGTGACTCGTTGGGTGAAGCGCACAGCTGAGGCACATTCCACTGATTACCTCCCTTCCTTATTTAAACCTCTGGCAGACGGTCTGTCGTTGCCGGAGCATTAAATGTGGGTATTTCTACGTTATGTTAAGTTTCAATGCTGACAGTTTTCTGTACTGTTGATTCTTTTTGTTATGTTGATGCCGTGTTTTTTACGTGACTTAGATTTCAGCGCTGACAGTTTTCTGTGCTATTTGTCATGTTGGTGCAGCCACTCCTGTGGTAAGTTTCCCTGCCTTCTCCTGTCTACTCACCTATTCGTCCTGGTCCTCTGACTCCTCTGCTTCCGGCAGCTCGCTTGTCTACTCATCTGTTCACCCTGGTCCAAATGGTTCCTGCCATTCACCTGTCTGCTTACTGGCCTGGTTTTCTCAGCTTCCACAGCAAAATCCTGATTTGATCACCCATGGACTTTGTCTACTTATCTGTACCTATATTACAATAAAGACACGTATTTAGTAACACCTGAGCCTGCACCTTGAGTCCTCCTTTCCTCCCTCTTTCTCTCACCTCTTGGTGAGGGACACCCCATCATAACAGAATGCTCCAGCCAATTATGGACTCAGCAGACTCCGGTGTTAGCCACAGCATGGACCAATCACACCGAGTCCTCAGGAGGGAATTTGTAATCCTCTCACAAGTTCTGCAAAAGATGTGTGGCAGTTTGAACACAATTAGAAGCCCGGCGGAACGCATGGCGCTGTGCCACAAAATGGAGCAGCTTGTGCGGAGTCGACCTGAGCTAGCACATTTACCAGCTATTGCAGTCCTCCTCACACAGCTGAAAGACATTCAAGCTGAGCTGGAAGCCTCCGCAGAGGTTTTCTTAAAGGATCAGGACCAGTCAGAAGGGAGCTCGGCCAGGGCTTCTTCTTCAGTCTCTCTGAATCCAGAAGAAGCCCGTGCCAT